AACTTTTATTCCTAATATTGAAATTATGTACAGTGGAAGAATTCTAGATTTCACCATTGCCACACCTGAATAATAAACAGCTATAACAGGCATTTTATATACATTTACTTGGAGATAAGCCCCACTCAGATTAGGGGAGTAAATGTGCACAGGATTGGGATTATTTGGGATGGATCCAAAGAAGCTTAGTCTAGCAAAAAATTTTACTCCATTGGCAGTAGCTGTGCCTACTTGGACAAAGGCACTGTGCCCTGTGCTGGAAGTTTATCTGTTTTTATTTCCAGTTGGCTGTACAGAAAATAGCAGTATTAATATAAATCCTTCTAGAGCCATGTTTACATGGTACACTGTATGCCAATATAAAGCCACCATTTAAGAACTTGCACCTCACTCTGAGCAACGGTAGTGAGTAGATATTCAAAATCTAATGAAAGGCAGCTGTGTCATAATCAATAAAATTATTCATGAGCCAGATCCCATGAAAACAATGGAATTTGATCCAAAGATTGCTTGGCCACAAATTCACTGGGACAGAGCCTATAGATTTCTCCCTATCAACGCAAACATGATTCTATGTTTTCCATGGTAAAAAAACCTTTCCAGGTTCTATTTCAAATGAAAAGGGTCTATACATTCCAGTTTACTATACTTGAACAAAGTTCCCTAGATTAATTTGAAATAATAGAGTTGGTATGCAATTACTAGATAATCATGCAGGGCAGTATCCAATGCTGCCTGAGCACTAGTTGGGTATAATGTTATCTCAGTGGGAAAACAGTGGCAACTGAAGCAGCGAGAGCAGAAACACCTGTTAGCAGGATTGAGCAGGCCACTGGAGCTCCTACTTCCTGTCCCATTCCAGAAACAACTATTTCCTCTCATTTCTCTGGTTGTTTATGAAGCATTAGATGCTATTGCACAAGCAGTCCTGTAATTATAATGGAGCTAGATGAATTGTAGTCGCAGGACTGGATATTACTCATACAAAGTTTTTTTTTTAAGAGTATTATGAGTATGAATACCAAGTTGAAGATTCTATATAGTTGGCTCTGTATAGAATATATAAATGCCTATATTGAACACTGTTTCTCTCCATGATAAACAAGTTCTACACCTGAATTAGGTCTAGTAGCTTCCCATAAACTAGCTGCAGGGGGCAAACTTCACACACTCAGCAAACAGCAATGCACATCAAGCACAGGTATCCTCAAGTGTCTCACTACCCCACTAGGAGTAGGCTGGCACTTATAAAGGGCTCCCATTGATTTACAGCTGTTTGAGAGTTGTGGTAAGAAGAGTACTCAGACTGTCTGGGAACATTATCCACTGTGTGTCGCCTAGCAAGTGACAAAAACTGCAGTCTAGATGATCATTTAGTAGGCATCTTGCGTCTTACCACCCTCCCAACAACTGAATTATGTGCAACAAGATTTATGTGCATAAGTTTGATTATTAAGCAAGCCTGATTTGCATAAACTTTCTTCCTTTTTTGTAAGGGAATTCTCATCTGCTTTTGTTTATATATGTGGTAAAGGTAAATACTCCTCCACTGCCTAAAGATGTTTTCTAGCCTGAGACATGTATAAACAACCAAATGGTATCAGGAAGAATAAAAGAACCTCTTGTATAAACAGGGTACATTTCCCCTTGCAGAAAGGGGGATTCTGGGAATTTCTGGGATTTCTCTTTCCCACCAGTATCTCCCTCCCCTTCAGCAAATTCATTCTAAAGCATCCTTTAATCCTCAGGAACCATTCGTTTGTTTTTTACAGACACATTAGGTACATTAGAAGTAGGGTAGGAAAATCTCATTCCTCAAACAGAAATATGCTCATTCACTTGGTCCAATTCTTTTAACCCATAGAAATATTTTTTGTGAAATCCTTGGCCAATGGGCAGTGAAGGATCTGTGTCTTCATTTATCAGAGTAAAAAGCAGAATATGAAAAATATGACCAGATAGCATGCACTTTAGAAATATCCTGGTATGTATAACTTTTTCTAGATCCATTTCCATCAGGTTAATTGCTTTGGTTGTCCTATGGAAATGACATGCAGGGAGAACAGGAAAATGCAAGCCTTTTAATTCTCCTTTACCTTTTGGCAGCTTTTAGTACCATCAACCATAGCATCCTTCTGGAAACTTTGCATCTGTTGGCAGTGAGCTGGATGCTTTAAAGTGCTTTTGCTCATACTAGGAAAGCTGTTTTCAGAAGGCAATGCTGGAGAATTTCTGCCCGACTCATGGCATGTATAGTTGTGCCCATGCTATTCCACACGCTATTCCATATAGGGGAGTGAACAGTACTGCTGGTGTGCCACAAACAGCCTGCCAAACCTCTTGCTGGCTGTTTTCCAAATCCCCAAGATCCTTGCTCTCAAAGAAAAAGACCCTACGAATAAGCTGCATGGTTCTTGCCATAAAAATCTTGCTCATTGGTATCACTAAAGCATCCTTGAGAGTAGTGCCTGAAAGTGCCTACTTGCTTCACAGAACATTCTGAGAATGGACCATACATAGTATGGAACATAGAATCTGTTTCTAGAGAGTCTTTTTATGTTCCCCAGCTTTTAAAAACAGTCTATGTACAAGAGTGTGGGATATCAGGAACTTTCAGAAAAGTAATGGACTAGAGAGAGGGGAATGGCTATGCACCAGGACTGCTGGCCGATTTGGAAACTGAGAATTCTGGCAGCAGTGCTGGCTTATGTGATCAAGCTAAGTATCACTGCTCTGAATCGCTCCTGGACAGGAGATGGATTTGAGTGAATAGCATGTGTGTGATATGTGTATATATATATGTGCAGGTATGTGTGAGCATATGGAGAAAGGTGGATGGCAGGTGAGGCTGCTGGGTGGAGGAGGGCTCTTGTCCTCCACTTGGCACCTTGGCTAGCAAAGCTTCATGGAAAGCCAGGTCCCTGGCTATAGCACTGGCTAAAGCATATCCAGTCACTGAATGATGTCAGCAGTGTGGCCATGCCACTGATGTATCCTGGCTGCTAAGGGTCAAGTGGGAAGTCATTCACTCTTTCAACCAAATCCCCCACTTCTGAATTAGAGCATACAATATCAGTATGTTATGCCTTAGAAATCTCTCTCTCTCTTGTAAGATCCAGGTATAGCATTAGAATGTTTAATTGGTGCCTCACTATTGTAACAGAGTGGGTGAGAGCCTGCAAAATGAAGCTGTATCCAGATAGGACAGAAGTACTGTGGGTGAGTGGTTTGTCTATCCAGAATAATGGAGTTCAACCTTTTCTGGAAGAAATTGCATTCCCCCTAATGAATCAAGTTCAAAGTTTGGGGATACTTGTAGATCCACTGCTGTCACTAGAAGCACAAATTTGTTTTATGGCACAAAGCACCTTCCACCAGCTTAGGCTAGTATGCCAAATATGGATAGGGATAGATTGGCTTCAGTGATTCAGGGCCTGGCAACTTCTTCTCTAAATTATACCAGTGCACTGTAGTGGGTCAGTCTTCAAAGACATCTGGACATTTTAGTACAAAATACAGCACCATTAGCAATAGACAGTAACCAACTAGGCACCTTTTGCTCTGCTGATTCCATTCCACAAACAGTGGATCCCATCAATTCTATTGCACAAACAAAAATAACTGTTTGCATGAGGACAATTGTGTCCTGAAAAAAAGAGAAATACTCATTCCTGGAAGGAGTCAGATCACCAGTGCCCCTTTATGTAAGCTTTGCTGACCTGCTCCTTCAAGAAATGAACCTTTCCCCTTGCCTCAGGAAGTGCTAAATCACCCTTATGCAAAATTTGTTTTGCTTGCATTTTAATTAATGGTGCCAATAAAAATTAAAATTAGGTGGTTCATAAGTCAAACCTGCTATATTCATAATGGGCATTTGTGTACCAAGCTTGAGATGGATCTCTAACAAACTTCATTATTCAAATTAAGACTGATTACATTAGCCTTTATGGTCTGCAGTCCATTTCTCCAGTCCCTTCAGACGAAAAGATTTTCTAAAGTTATTACAACTTTAGAACAATTTATTTCATGATTATGTTTTGAGAATGATCATATGACTTATTTACAGTGGTCACAAGACTTTCTGGAAATGTTTACAGGTTGAAATACATGTACATGCTACCTGAGTGGCTGGCAGGCAGGCAAGAAAGAGACCTGCTGCTGTAGCAGTTCACAGATACAAAATCAGAACTTTGAATTACTAATCAGCAAGTTGAAATACAATTATCTTTTGTTTTTACATGTCTAGCATTCTGGTGTCAAAAAATAGAAACAGAGGTGCACACGTTT